GGGTTCTCTTTGCTCCACAACCTCACCAGCATCTGATGGGTTTTTTTTTTTTTCATTTTTTAATAATATAGGGCCTCTTTTATAAGGGTACTAAGCTCATTCATGAGAGCATGTCTCCAAATGCCATCACATTGGGCATTAGGTTTGAACATGTGACCTTGGGAGGGCACACATCCATTCAGGCTATAGCTGTGACTTCAGAATACCACACGTAAGGAAGCTTGCTAAAGGAGGGACATGAGTCACACCAACAACTTCAAACTAACTGCATCCTGGCCACCTGCTATACATAATTTTTAAAAGATAGGTGTTAACTAAGTTTTGTAGCCATGTATATACTGTGTGTGTGTGTGTGTGTGTGTGTGTGTGTGTGTGTGTGTAATTTAGTTTATACATATATGAGAAGCTCAAACGTGTATTCCTAGCCACTAAATTTCTAGCTAGGGAGATGGGGTTGAGTCAGAAAACAGACTGAGTCATTCATTGATTTGGCCAGAGGCCAACTATCAAAGTACTGCTGAACAGGGATCTTAAGCAGAGATTGGAAGCTCCTGATTTTTATGATCATGTCTTTTTCCAAGTTACAAATTGGATGTGTTGTGTGTACATATGTAGATACTTTTTTATCCTGAAACTTGGAACATGTCTGTGAACTACTTTAAACCCTCTCTCCAGTGTCATCCTAATGGGAGAAAATGTGTAGAAGGGTCACCTGGGCCCTTGAAGGGAAAGCATCCATGTGACAGTTCTGTATCTTCTAAATATCTGAATGCAAAGAAAGAATGCTGTCATTAGCTAAAGGAATGAAAACAGCCAGGGAAGGGACATTTTGGAGTGTGCTCAGGAGGCTGAAGGTGATTATCATCATCTGCATCTGGACCCAGTGTTTCCTGCATCAGAGAGGCAGTGCCTGGACTGGCAGTGGGGAAGCAGGCCAAGGCCAGGTGTAGGGATGGCCCCTCACCCAGGGATGTTCTGTCCTTTCAGCCCGTGTTGACAAGAAGCTTCCTAGTGAACTGCAGGCCTGCAGAGCTGCGGTTGGCAGCTGAGCTTTGACGACCGGAAGCTCAGTGACTCACTCTCTTTTGCAGGGAGCTCTGGCAAAGGGTGACGCCAGCAGCCAGATGGATGGCACACCCAGATCCCTGGCCTTAGTGCTTCCTTGGTTTATTTTATTTTTTCGAGACAGAGTTTCTCTCTGCCACCCAGGCTGGAGTGCAGTGGCTAAATCTCAGCTCACTGCAACCTCCGACTACCAGGTTCAAGAGATTCTCCTGCCTCAGCCTCCTGAGTAGCTGGAATTACAGGTGCCTGCCACCATGCCCAGCTAATTTTTGTATTTTTAGTAGAGATGGGGTTTCTCCATGTTGGCCAGGATGGTCTCGAACTCCTGGCCTCAACAGATCCACTTGCTTCAGCCTCCCAAAGTGTAGGAATCACTGGTGTAAGCCACCACACCCGGCCCCTTGGTGTTTTTTAAAATCTCTCTTGACTTTGTCTCCACCTCACTCTGATGTTCACGCTCAGAATCTGGTCATGACTTAGCATCCCCCTGTCACACCCACCTTCTAAATCTCTGCTTGGAATCAATCCTGCAGCCCACCCCTCCACTCACATACCATGGCAGGGGGCAGCACCTGCTGCTCCCCAGCAGTCTTGGGGATTCTTGACTGCATTCAGGCCGAACAGCTGGGATAGAGCAGCTTTGTCATATCACCTTACTTGATTGAAGGCTGCAGGTCCTCACCTGGACATACCCGCAGCATGCCTGTCACTTGTTCCCATGCTCCCTTGTGTTCCTAAGTCCTAAGAGACAGTAAATGAGGGCATAAGCTATTGCACTGCTGCCCTCCAGCAAGGTCTGCCTGGTTCTGAGCCAGGATTAAAGAGAGCCAGAGCCTGCCACACAGCCACCCACCCTTCCACTTAGACAGCTCTGAGCTTAACCACCTGCACCTTTCCCTGTGTGTCTCGCCTTGGTTCAGCCTGGTGCCCATACATAGGAAGAGGCCATAACTGACCCTCCTCTCACCGTGGGTGGACCTGGGAGGGAAGGTTTCCAGAAAAAAGAAGGCAGCAGGCCCTAGTCCTACCAGAGCTCAGGCCTCCGGGCCACTGCAGTGACCCAGGCAAGAGACAGGGTGGGCTCAGAGCAAGATGGTACCCATAGACAGGGTGATAAATGGTCAAATTCTGGATATGTTTTTAAGGCAGATGGGATTTCCTGATGGATTGGAGGTGAGATATGAAAGAAGGATCATCAAATACAGCCTTGAGGTCTCAAGAGTTCTAGTCTTGTTTTCAGTCTTGTTTATCTGACTCTCTGATCTTATCTGACCACATAAGATCTGGTCTTATCCAATAGATAAGACCTAAGCCCCAAGTCTCATCTGATGAGATTGAGACCTTATCCGGTCTTGTCCTGCGTCTCAGGCCGACTTCCACTTTTATTTCAGTGGGTTCTGATTCCTAGGATCAGAGGCCCACTCCTTGCTCTTTGGAAGTTCTCTTATTGTCATTAAAGCTCCCTCTGCTGCCCTTAGTATTTTTGCACTGGCATAAGTGACCTCTGTTTTCCATTCTGTCAGTGTAGTTGGGACTGAAAGTAATGTCATGGCATGGCAACGAACATTGCCTAACGTCTCTTTGAAATAACAAAGGGCAGGTGGCTGTCGTTGCCAGCCCTCCAGAGTAAGGCTTTTACAGGGAAAGTGATGGACAGCTTGTAGGCCAGTGTAGACTGTTCTATAACCCGAGGTCTCCATTGTGTAGCTGTCTCAGTGAATGAAACTCACTTCAGGGATTCGTTTCTTTGTCTGTAAAGAGTAATTGTGTTATCTTGTTCAGTTAGAGATAAGAATCACCCAGTGGAGACTGCGGATATATTTAAGCACTTACTGTGGGCCAGGCCCTATGTGAAGCTCTTTTATGTGAGTTATCTTATTTGATCCTCATCAGGGAGGTGCTGTTATTATTTCCATTTTACAGTGAAAAAAATTGAGGTTTAGAGATGTTAAGTGACTTGTACATCATAACCCAAGTATGGTATGGGGTAGGGCTGGCATTCAAACCCACGTCTGTTGGTCACCAGGTTCTGTGCTCTTAACCATGCACCAGTGTTTCAGTGTGATCATGGGTTGCCTGGTTGGGCTTGGTAAGTGTAGAATCCTGGATCCTGCTCTCCTGTACAACCCATTGACTCTGACTCTCTGAGACTGGGACCTGGAAATCCAGACCTTAACGAGAATGGCATAAAATATGACAACCACACTATCTCATTATGTCACCTCTAAATGATTGTAAAGCATCCTGTGGGTGTGTACATGTAGTGTTGACAAATCCTCTAAGCCTAAGTCAGTCCAAATTCTAGGATTTCCTAATTAAAAACAAGCAGATGGTTCTTACAATAGTGCAATCCCATCCTCTGTCATTTCAAAGTCCATTATCAATGCATCAGTGTAATAGAATGTTGAATGGTCAGCGTATCCGGACTAGTTCATTTCAGCAGAAAGAAATTTTTTTTTACATAGAATATTAAATGGATAATACAATCATTAGGACAGCTAAAGAAACAGTCTTTAGGCTGAATGTCCAGGAATGACTCCCAAAGTCCCACCACAGAGCTGAGCCTCAGAAACTGTTGCTCCAGCTTCTGGAGACCTCGGGTTATAGAACAGTTGCCTGTGAGTGGTGGGAGAGTGGAGGGCGAGCATGGAGCCCTGGGTTAGGGAGTAAAGGCCCCCCAGGAGGGCCTCCGTAAGAAATGAGTGGGGGAACTTGAAGAAGAGGAGGCCAAGGAAGCAGGGGTTTTCAAACAGCCCAGAGTGGCAAGCGTTATTAGATACAGTAAGACGGCCAGTTAAACATGGATTATTATTATTAGGTTGAGATGGAGTCTCGCTCTGTCGCCAGGTGGACACTATCTCAGCTCACGGCAACCTCTGCCTCCTGGGTTCAGGAGATTCTCCTGACTCAGCCTCCTGAGTAACTGAGACTACAGCCAGACACCACCATGCCCAGCTAATTTTTGTGTTTTTAGTAGAGACGAGGTTTCGCCATGTTGACCAGGATGGTCTTGATCTCCTAACCTCGTCATCCACCTGCCTCTGCCTCCCTAAGTGATGGGATTACAGGCGTGAGCCACTGTGCTCAGCCAAACATGGATTTTTTTTAAAAAATAGTATTGCTGGTCTTGACACCTGGGTGACTTTTGCTAGGTCAGTTACTGAGTTTCACCAGCACTGTTTCAGGGGATGGTGGGGAAAGCAGCCACGTGGGTGGGACTAAGACTAAATGGGAAGTGAGCAAACAGAAGCAACCAGGCCTTTCAGGGAGCCAAGTGGAGATGGGAAGGAAGCGAGGCTGTGGCTGGTGAGCCCTTGGAGCTCACAGAATTTTTTATTTGTTGTTTTGTTTGATTGTTTCTTAGGATGAGAGAAACTTGAGCATAGTTATAGCAGAGCCATTTGAAAGAGAATTGAGTCGATGTGTTTTAAAAGTCCTAGAAAGAAAGGGGGCAAGGACTAGAAGAAGGGGTTGGCCTGAAACACAAGAGGGACAACTCCTTCCTGCCAGCTGTCAGAAGGAGGTGACAGTGGATACAGGTAGGGTCCCAGGAGGAGGTGGGTGGTAGAACCCTAGTCACGGTACTGATTTTCTCCCTGAAGCTGATTCTCATCAGCTGAGAATCCCCTGCTGAGACGGAAGGGCCTGGATCCTGAGCATGAAGCTGGGGATGAGGTGCAGGTTTGGAGCAGCAGCTGCTGCGTACAAATGACAAGATTGTCAGTCAAGGAAGGCCTTGGTTGCCTAAATAAAGGAGAACTGGTGAGTTCAAGGTGGGGCAGCTGCCAACAGTGTGTGATGTAGTTTAGCAGCCTCAGGCTGAGTGCAGAGGCAGGTCCTGGGCTGCCCTGAGACATGGACTTGCGGTTGAGAACGGTGTAGGACTCAGGGCTCAGGTCAGCTGCTCAACGTGATGTGTCCCCTCTTTGTGGCAGGTGCTTCAATCAGGAACCCTGAAGCTGTCCCACCTACAGGAGGGAACCTACACCTTCCAGCTGACCGTGACGGACACTGCTGGGCAGAAAAGCTCTGACAACGTGTCAGTGACAGTGCTTCCCATGGCCTACTCCACAGGAGGTGAGAAGAAAGTCCTTCCCTCACTTCCCACTGCTTATGGAAGGGTGGTGTCGGCTGGTGTTTTCCATTCTGCTCTGCACCTCATGGGCTGTTCCATTTTGTTTCTGGTTACTGCTGAATGAGAGAGTCTTTGCTAAAAATACAATAACAAAAGCAGGCTCTGTTCTGTTTTGGGCTTAGCTGGTGCTACTGGGTTGGGGTAGAGAAAGTCGTCCAGGGGATGAGAGGAGGTGCTCCTGCTTTTCTTGACTTTACTTCATCAAAGACAATTGCCTGTATATTATAGGAGAGGATTTTGTTTAAAAATGGGTGCTCTATTTGTTGCATCTGTTCCAAGAGGAAAGCTGAGGCGTATAGAAACCAGCTGAACTCGTGGAAGAAGAGAGTGGAATGGTAGTTACTGGAGGCTGTGGGGGGACAGACTAGGAAGGGAGGGATGCTGGTCAAATGGTACAGAGTGTCACTGAGACTGGAGGAACAGGTTCTGGTGAACTGTTGCACAGCATGGTGACTGTAGTTAATGATCATGTATTGTGTGTTTTGAAATTGCTAAATGAGTAGGTTTTAAATGTTGTCACTACAAAAGGATTACAAGTAGAGGAAATGATAGATATGTCAGTTAGCTTGATTTAATCATTCCACAACATAAACATATATCAAAACATCAAATGGTGCCCCAAAAATATATACTCTTCTTTTTGTCAATTAAAAATATATATAAAAACAAGGAAAAGGCATATCACAGGACTGAAGAAAGACTTGGCTCTTGGGTGTAATCCATGGCTGATATAATTAATCACTTCAGAAGTTTTAGAAAGAAAAAAAGAGTGCAGCTAAGGAGTACAGTTAAAATTAATTGAAATATGAAAAGGACACATCAATTTGAAAGCACTGCCTACATTTTCATAGACACTTAACACAGATGCCTAGACATATTAATAATATAACTTTAAATACATATGATGGTTCTTTGCTCTCTCAGGCAGAGCTTTAGTCAACTGCTGACTCTGGGAGGAAAGGACTCGGGAAGAAGACACAGATACCCTGTAATCCCACAAAAATCAGAAAAGGATCGCTCTTGTACAACTGAGGTGCCTGGGAGGGAGGAAGGGCCTGCACTGCTATGAGCAGATGGCCAGCACCTCACCAGCCACTTGTTTGCCCTGGTTTATTTACACAGGCAGCTTTTTTTTTAAGACAGTTTTGCTCTTGTTGCCCAGGCTAGAGTGCAGTGGTATACTCTACAGTGACTACAGGCCACCATGTCCCGCTCACTTTGTATTTTTAGTAGAGACAGGGTTTCACCATGTTGGCCAGGCTGGTCTCAAACTCCTGACCTCAAGTGATCTTTCCGCCTTGGCCTCCCAAAGTGCTTAGATTACAGGCATGAGCTACCGCTCCCAGCCCAACATCTACATTTCTAAGAAAGATTAGGTCATCAAAATTTTTTAAATACCCATTGCATGGAACTTAGCAACACTAAAGATACTGTAGTATCGTAGAGGGAACCCCTCACCACAGACACAATTCACTTTTGGAGAGGTGCTAAGATCTTGTACGTTTAAATATCCTATTACTCGGTCATTGTGTATCAGTGTCTGCAGTGTGCAGGGTCCTTGCCAGGCCCTGGGGATAAAGTGGTACACTCGTGGTCCCTGACTTCCTGTAGCTTATAGTCTCACAAAGCTTTGCCGTCACTAGCCATCACTATGGTAAACTTGCAGTAAGTTTCTGACATTTTTGAATTCTCAGTATTCACAACTCAGAATCTGGATGGTAATTAAGCCAGCAGTGTGCAGAATGAGGATAAAAGAGTTGGCCAGACTCACACCTGTAATCCCAGCACTTTGGGAGGCTGGGGCAGATGGATCATGAGGTCAGGAGTTTGAGACCAGACTGGCCAAGATGGTGAAACCCCGTCTCTACTAAAAATATAAATGGGCACAGTGGTGGGCACCTGTAATCCCAGCTACTCTGGAAGCTGAGGCAGGAGACTTGTTTGAACCCAGGAAGGGGAGGTTGCATTGAGCTGAGAGCACGCCATTGCACTCCAACCTGGGCGACAAGAGCGAAACTCCATCTAAAAAAGAAAGGAAAGAGTTGGGTCAGGACTGTGATTTACTTGTACTACATTGAATCTAGCCTTCTATCAAAAATGGATTAGTATGCATACTGGAAATGAAGTTTTCCAAGGAGTTATAGAGATTTTAGAATCCTAAGGACTTGTCAACCTTGATAATTTTCATAGGCTGCATTAAAAACTTGTTTGGCTTATGACTTCATGTTCAGCCAGAGGTTAAGCTCACTGTAAGGAGGGAGGGTAACCAGACACAGACAGTATAGGCACCAAACTCCTGCCCACACCAGCACTGTGAGGTCACCAGTGATAGCGAGTAAACAGTGTCTGTCCAACCCAGCCCAGATTCCATCAGCCCTGCTAGCTCATTGCAGCTGCATAGGAGAGCCAGCCAGCTACTGAAAACATTGCTGAGCTCTTTGTCTGGACGGGCACCAGGACAGTTCATTGTAGCTGCACAGGAGAGCCAGCCAGCTACTGAAAACATTGCTGAGCTCCTTGTCTGCATGGGCACCAGGACCGGTGGAGACAGGGCATTGGCTCCAGCAAGGATGGCTCGCTTGTGTGGAGCTGGGCACCCTCTAGAGGGCTTTCTTCCTGGGTAGAGGACTCGCCTGGGCAGAACCTTAGTCAGCTGCTGACTCTGGGAGGAAAGGACTCAGGAAGAAGACACAGATACCCTGTCTTCCCCCACAGAAATCAGAAAAGGATCGCTCTTGTACAACTGAGGTGCCTGGGAGGGAGGAAGGGCCTGCACTGATATGAGCAGATGGCCAGCATCTCACCAGACACTTGTTTGCTCTGGTTTATCTACTCAGGCAGCTTTCCGGGCTCCAGAGGTAAATTGCCAGCTGTAAATTTCTGGCCTTTCTCCAAGATGGTAATAAACTGTATTTGAAGTGGCAGAGAGTAATGTGAGAATCACTTTTGATTACTAAAGGGCTGCTTGGAAATAGGTCTTGTGTGTGTAACTTTATATGGAAATAAAAAAGAATTGGTGTAGTACTAACTGCTATCTGGAATCACTTACTGGTTATATTGGAATAACATGCTATGAATTAAAGTTAATAAAACACCACAGATAGACATTGGAAAATAAAGGAAGAAGAGACAAGTGTTTCCCTCACCTCCATTGTATGTAATTGGTCTTGCTATGAATAACCCAGATGTCATGGTAACCAAGGGTGACACCAGCTGGTGTAGACAGATGAGCAGGTACCCTGCCCATATGATCATAACTTGGTTCAATTTTAATAAGTTAACATTTTGAACATTTTTCACATTTAGAAAAATGATCTATTCAAATAGCAAGCCATCAAGCTCTTCCAACATGATCTAGCTCAGCAGTCTCCAAATAGGATGCCCCTGACGTGTTCAAGACATTTTTAGGGTGAGAAAGAAGATAGGGGAGTTTATATTTTTGTTGCTTGAACCTGGGAGATGGAGACTGCAGTGAGCTGAGATTGTACCACTGCACTTCAGCCTGGGCGACACAGTGAGACTCCGTCTCAAATAAATAAACTGTAGATGCCTGTTCAACAATATATAAAAGATCAGAATGCATGATCAAAGAAGTTTGGAGGCTGCCAATCCAAAAAGATAGAAAATTTACAAATATGCATCCATCTCCAAAACCACCAAGGCATAAATAAAGCCTTGAGATATTTGGGATTTTGATGCCATGAATTTAATAAACCTGAGGAGGAACCGTATCCTGTTTGACATCCAGAGTGTCCCCCTGCCTCCCCTCCCTGCTTCTTCCCAGTGGCCGGAGCTGACTCTCCTCAGGCCCATGTTCTCAGTCGTAACTGCAGGCTCTTTGCTTCCTCTTCTTCCGCAGGAGCTTCTACCAGCATTTATTTTCTTTACCCTCTCTTCTTACTTTCTTTACCCTGGATTGGTTTATCTTCAGATTGCCTTACACCCAGACAGACTCCTTTTTCAACCTCTTGATTTAACTAGATTTCAATAAAATATGTGTCCAAGGCTAGGTGCTGTGGCTTAAACCTGCAATCTCAGCACTTTGGGAGGCCAAGGGAGGAGAATTGCTTGAGTCCAGTAGTTCAAGACCAGCCTGGGCAACATAGTAACACCCCATATCTAAAAAAAAAAAAGAGTGTGTGTCCAAGATTTCACTTGGGTTTGTGAACTGTGCTTAGCCATTTGGTTTTGAAGGAATATCACATCATCTGCCACTCCCTCATGTTCCTGAGAGAATTGTCTGGTTCACTCTATCCCTGTAAAACTGTAGAGCTCCTATGACCTGCTTCTAGCCTGATGCCTTAGTCCATGTTGCCAGTACCAGATAGTCACCCGGTTCTCGTCCAGCTAAGTCTAATAAACTTGGCTTAATCAGGGGAGAGGGAAAATGCATTTCAGGAAAATATTTGTAGCTCCTGTGAATTGCACTGCAAATTAAAAGCTCCTAAGAGCTCTAGAAGGGAGAAAATTTTATTATTTCATGAAATTAAATTCATGCCAGCCCATAACTAAAGATTTCATTTATTCTCTACGGTATCAGGGATGTTACAGTAGTCAACAAATAGGATTCAATAGCAGAAAGTTAATCTCAGTGAAAAGTATTACTTAGGAAACAAGAATGTAAGACATAGCATATGTAAAATAGTACCGCTGGGCCGGGTACCGTGGCTCATGTCTGTGATCCTAGCACTTTGGGAGGCTGAGGCGGGTGGATTAGTTGAGGTCAGGAGTTTGAGACCAGCCTGGCCATGATGGTGAAACCCCATCTCTCCCAAAAACACAAAAATCAACCCGGTGTGGTGGTGTGTGTCTGTGGTCCCAGGTATTTCAGAGGCTGAGGCAGGATAGTTTCTTGAACCCAGGAGGCAGAGGTTGCAGTGAGCCAAGATTGTGCCACTGTACTTCAGCCTGGGCAACAGAGTGAGACCTTGTCTTAAGTAAGTAAGTAAGTAAGTAAGTAAATAAATAAAATGGTACCTCTGTTAAAATATAGCCAAGTGGGTGGGATGGTGTTAGGCAGCCTCCTGCGGAGCAGTCGACAGCCAGAGGAAGAGGATCCAACAATGGGGTGTACGAATGAATGCAGAGGGATACAACTGAGGCGGAGGAGCAAGGGTGGAGAGAGACAAGGGCTGCTGCTTCTGTGTGCCACCACCTGGGCAAAGCAAGCACGGAGAGCAGCCCTCAGACCAAGAGCCCCTGAGGAGCTTGAAGAGTTAAGTCAGGAGGCTCAAAAAGAGCCCTCCAACCTCTCCAGAACCTGTTGCTTAAACTGTTAGATTTGCCTCATTATTTGCATCTCTTCACCCAAATGCGTTTTTTTTTTTTTTTTTTTTTTTTTTTTTTTTTTTTTTTTTGAGATGGAGTCTTGCCCTGTGGCCACGCTGGAGTGCAGTGGTGTGATCTCAGCTCACAGCAACCTTCACCTCCCAGGTTCCAGCTATTCCCCTGCCTTAGCCTCCTGAGTAGCTGGGACTACAGGCACATGCCACCATGCCTGGATAATTTTTTGTATTTAGTAGACATGAGGTTTTACCATGTTGGCCAGGATGCTCTTGAAACTCCTTACCTTGTGATCCTCCTGCCTCGGCCTCCCAAAGTGCTGGGATTACAGGCGTGAGCCACCACGCCCAGCCCCAAATGTGTTGTCATCCCCATCTTGAGAATCTTAACTTTTCCTGCGCTCCCGTGACGAGGTTTGTTTACAAACAGGATGTCTGCACACTTGCTCGCGCTACCACTTCTTCTGTGATGATGGCTGCTGCATTGACATCACGCTCGCCTGCGATGGGGTGCGGCAGTGTCCCGACGGGTCCGATGAAGACTTCTGCCAGAATCGTGAGTCGGCCGTGTCACACTGCCAGGCAGTGGCTGGAAGGGATAGAGTCGGGAGGTCTGTGTCCTAAGAATAAAATGCAAATGCAGTGCCCTTCCGCTGCTTGATTTTAGTTATAACTTTATGTGTAAAAGCTATGCCTTAAAATGGCAGTGCAACATGTCTCTAGTCTAAGTCCCAAATTTCAGCATTGCTTATGGTTTTAATTTTTTTCAATTTTCCAGATTCTTTCTATCCTTAAAATGCTGTGTATCATGTGCTTTCTTAAAAACTGAAGTGATCTGATGTTTTGTTTTGATAAATTTTTAAAGAAAATTTACAGTACACCAGAATGTGGCTAAGTCAGGGCTATAAATCAGCCTTATAATGTCATACACATAGAAATGCCCTGTTAAGACAGAAGAAAAACTGACAAAAATTTAGTGAAGTATGGATTTGAGGAAAGATGAAGGTTCTCAAAACCTTAAATTTAAGTTTAGTCTTTGTCCGCTTTTTTTTTTTTGAGGCAGAGTTTCACTCTTGTTGGCCAGGCTGGAGTGCAATGGTATCTAAGCCCACTGCAATCTCCGCTTCCCAAGTTCAAGCAATTCTCCTGCCTCAGCTTCCCGAGTAGCTGGGATTACAGCCATGCATCACCATGCCCAGCTAATTTTGTATTTTTAGTAGAGACTGGGTTTCTCCATGTTGGTCAGGCTGGTCATGAACTGCTGACCTCAGGTGATTTGCCCGCCTCAGCCTCCCAAAGTGCTGGGATTACAGGCATGAGCCACCACGCCCAGCCTTTTTTTTTTTTTTTTTGAGATGGAGTTTCGCTCTTGTTATCCAGGCTGGAGTGCAATGGCGCGATCTCAGCTCACCACAACCTCCGCCTCCTGGGTTCAGGCAATTCTCCTGCCTCAGCCCCCCGAGTAGCTGGGATTACAGGCACGCACCACCGTGCCCAGCTAATTTTTGTATTTTTAGTAGAGACAGGGTTTCACCATGTTGACCAGAATGGTCTCGATCTCTTGACCTCATGATCCACCCGCCTTGGCCTCCCAAAGTGCTGGGATTACAGGCGTGGGCCACCGCGCCCGGCTTTTTTTCTTTTTAAGACCAGGTCTCACTCTGTCACCCAGGCTGGAGTGCAATGGCACGATCATGACTTACTGCAGCCTCCCCAGACTTAGGCGTTCTCCCACCTCAGCCTTCTCAGTAGCTGGGACTGCAGGCGTGTGCCACCATGCCTAGATAATTTGTTATTTTTTGGAAAGATGGGGTTTTGCCATGTTGCCCAGTCTGGTCATAAACTCCTGGGCTCAAGTGATCTGCCTGCCTCTGCCTCCCAAAGTGCTAGGATTATGGGTATAAGCCATCACGTGGGGCCCTGTCCATTTCTTTATGTGTAGCATTTGGAAAGCTATTAGAAGACGAAAGAACAGATTACCCATTTGAAAACAAGAGAGAATAGATTTTTATGGTGTTCTGACATGTCTTAGATGAATAGGCTATTATGTCCAAATATCCATGATTTTAAATCAACTGCAGATGTAGTGGTTTTAGTAGTAAAGTTCAGAAAAGAAATCCAGCAACTAACAGTAGCTCTTCACACTTCAGTGGGCCTGGACCGCAAGATGGTAACCCACACGGCTGCTGGTGCTGCCCAGCCAAGAACCACAGGGCTGAGTGAAGACGCAGGGGACGAATCCTTGGTGGAAAAGTCTCAGAAAGCCACTACCCCAAACAAGACACCTGCATTATCAAACACAGAGAAGAGGAATCATTCCACCTTTTGGGGACCAGAGGGTCAAATCATTCCTGGGATGCCAGGTAAGGACTCAGGGCAGGTTCTCCAATGAAGAATCTTGTTTTCTGTAGCCAAACTTTGGCTCACAATTAAGTTTATGTTTGAAGAGTGTTAAGGAAGTATCTTGAAATAAGAGTTAAAATTAAGAATTTGGCCAAAAAGTGGTAAAAAAAATCTTGACATCTGCACTAATTTATAAATAGTATTTGTACTTACTAAATAAACTCATACATATATACGTACTCCAGAGATACCAATACATATTTGTAACTACATTACCACTTAGCTTACAGAAGCCTAAGTGTTCAATTTTAGGTTGTTTTAAGATGAAACAGCATAACCCTTATGTATTTGTGTAAATCCTCTTCACCCAAGCAAGTGAACATTTAAAAAGTTGTCTTGAAAGAGATGCATATGCTAGTAATTCAACCTTATGCTTCCAATTTAACTAAATCTATCACTTGAAAAATAAGGCTAATAAGATTTTTTTTTGAGACAGGCTCTCACTCTGTTGCCCAGGCTAGAGTACAGTGATGTGATCACAACTCACTGCAGCCTCAACCTCCCAGACTCACATGATCCTCCCACTTCAGCCTCCTGAGTAGCTGGGACTATAGGCATAGTAGCTGGGACCACCATGTCTGGCTAATTTTTGTACTTTTTATAGAGACGAGGTTTTGCCATGTTTCCCAGGCCAGTCTTGAACTCCTGGGCTCAAGCAACCCCCCTACCTCGGCTGTCCTCCCAAAGTGCTAGGATTATAGGTATGAGCCACTGCCCTGGTCTAAAATACATTCACATGACTAATAGCATTACAGGATTTAGCCAGTTGCAGTGACTCACCAGTAATCCCAGCTACTCTGGAAGCTGAGGCAGAAGAATTGCTTGAGGCCAAGAGTTTGAGACCAGCCTAGGCAACATAGTGAGACCTTGTCTCTATAAATAAATAAATAAATAATATAGGATTCCATCCTTTTAAATTTCTTTTTTACACATTATTTGCATGATTATAAAACATGAGACAGAATAGAGATTATCACATTTCCAAACGCTTTTGTAAATATCTTGTCATACTCTGCATAAGTTCTATGGAAATAACCTGACACTATTTTAGTAAGTTTATTATAAAAAATTTTTGTTCCTTGTACAAGATATGGAAGATGAAAAATAATTTAAGGAACGTGAACTTAAAATACCACCTCTTTTGAAAACTACGTTTAATATTTGTTGTATTTCCTTCCACTCTTTTGTTTATGTACCTTGTAGATTTTAAGTACCTCCATAAAAATATGTCTGCAAAACATTGCATTCTAGCAGGGCCTTTTCCTTCTCAGTTTTGGTTAAGTACACTGCAAATGCCTGCTTTTTTGGTGCCTTCCTTGTTGGTACTGCCACCTACTGGTAAAATCAGACACTACATGCAAGCCTTTGGATGTGGTTTTAGTGAGTTTTCTCTGCTTAAGACAGTTTGTATGGAGAAGAGCATCACAACCTAAGAAACAGAGCCAGGGGAGACCAGGTGTCTTTGGCAGGACTGCTGAAGGGGTGAAGAGTTGATGGAGAGATCTGTGTTGTCAGAGGCCAGGATGGATGAATTCCTACCACATCATTGTGGTGGAGAGGACCACATGAGCATAAACAAATTAGCTGAAGTCAGAGACCAAAGCCCAGATCTTGGCTCTACCTTTAGAATCTTGATTAAGTCACTTCATATATTTGGACCTCAGTTGCCTCATTTGTTAATAAGGGACTTCAAGTGAGGAATGATAAATATGCTAACATTCATTCATACTTTACCCCATCAGCCCTCACCCACACTATGTGTTGCTCATTGATCCCAGTACTGTCCCATGGGGAGTGTGGACTTAGCTCAGAATCCTTTTGAAAATAGTGCCCCAGGCTGGAAGCCATTAACACAGCAAACTAACACAGGAACAGAAAACCAAATACTGCATGTTCTCACTTAGACGTGGAGGCCGAATGATGAGACCACATGGACATACGGAGGGGAGCAACACACACTGGGGCCTGTCAGAGGGTGGGGGATGGGGGCAGGGAGAGCATCAGGAAGAATAGCTAATGGACGCTGGGCTTAATACCTGGATGATGGGATGATCGCTACAGCAAACCACCATGGCACATGTTTACCTGTGTAACAAACCTGCATATCCTGCACGTGTACCACAGAGCTTAAAAGTTGGAGGAAAACAGGCCGGGTGCGGTGGCTCAAGCCTGTAATCCCAGCACTTTGGGAGGCTGAGGCGGGTGGATCATGAGGTCGAGAGATCGAGACCATCCTGGTCAACATGGTGAAACCCCGTCTCTACTAAAAATACAAAAAAATTAGCTGTGCGTGGTGGTGCGTGCCTGTTATCCCAGCTACTCAGGAGGCTGAGGCAGGAGAATTGCCTGAGCCCAGGAGGCGGAGGTTGCGGTGAGCCGAGATCGTGCCATTGCACTCCAGCCTGGGTAACAAGCGCGAAACTCCGTCTCAAAAAAAAAAAAAAAAAAAAGTTGGAGGAAAAAAAAGAAAATAACACTCCAGGCTACCACCTGCAGTTGATGGGAGTCAGCACCCAATTTCCAGTGGATTTATGACCTCTGCTTTTGCTTTTTGATAATCAGCCTTAGGATTTGGTTATGAAGATGTAAAGAATGGCCTTTCACAGATGCAGAGATTAGATGTCCAGTTATTATAACATATTAGAGTTTTTTCTAATTATTAAAACAATGCAGATTTACTGCAGAAAATATAGAAAAAATACAAAGAAAGTTAAAAGCATCTAGCAAAACTCACTATTAAAATTTTGTTGTGGCCAGGCACGGTGGCTCACGCCTGTAATCCCAACACTTTGGGAGGCCAAGGTGGGTGGATCACAAGGTCAGGACTTTGAGACCAGCCTGGCCAATATGGTGAAACTCCATGTCTATTAAAAAGACAAAAATCAGACATGGTGGCGCGTGCCTGTAGTCCCAGCTACTCAGGAGGCTTAGGCAGGAGAATCGCTTGAACCCAGGAGGCAGAGGTTGCAGTGAGCCGAGATCACACCACTGTGCTCCAGCCTGGGTGACAGAGTGAGACTCCATCTCAAAAAAATTTTTTTGTTGCATTTTATTCTGGTTTCTTTTATTCATACACATGTACATATTTACTCATTTTTAACAAAAATAGTATAATGCTTTTATAAAACTTCTCACTCATGAGCATTTTCATGTATTATTAAATATTAATCAAAACACAATTTTTGAAAGTCCTGGGGTGAAGACAGTGGGGAAAAACCAGAATTTTGAAAATGTTAGAGCCCTCACATCCTGTGGTTTCTGTTCGGATGGCAGCTCTGCTGCCCTCCCGCTCTGCTGTCCCTAAGACCACTAGACTAGAGTCCCCAGCCTCTGATTTCATGTAAGTTAAAGACCCATAAGTAGATTAAGAAGTGCATTATTGTTCATGACACATGCCTGGGCTTTAAGAGGACCATCAGCTACTACAATAAATATGGATGAGTTAAATCCACTGCTGGCTCCTACCCTCATAGACATGTGGTGAGGACAAATAAGACTTAGCTCATGGAGGACTCGTTAACGAGATACTAAGATTACTACTAACAGTGTAGCATGCAGACTAGTGAGATGTAGTTTTTCACCTATCACATTGACAGTGATGAAGAATTATAATAATTAATGTTTCTAAGAATAGAGAGAAACAAGTCTCACACTCTTCTGGTGGCAATGCAATTAGGTACGGCCTTCCAGAGGGCAGTTTCTGAAGCCTTAAAACTATGTATATGTTTGGGTGCAGCAGCTCACACCTGTAATTCCAGCACTTTGGAAGGCCAAGGCAAGTGGATTGCTTGAGGCCAGGAGTTCTAGACCAGCCTGGAAACATGGCAAAACCCCATCTCTACAAAGAAATACAGAAATTAACTGGTCATGGTGGTATGTACCTATAGTCCCAGCTACTTGGAAGGTTGAGGTGGGAGAATCGCTTGAGCCTGGGAGGTCAAGGCTGCAGTGAGCTATAATCGCACCACCGCACTCCAGCCTGGGTGACAGAGTGAAGTCGCATCTCCAAAACAAAACAAAACTATGTGTGCATTGGCCCAATTCCACTTTTGGTGATGTATTCCACACAGGTTACTGAGGACAAAAATGAAGGTATGTACAGACGTAAGGTTACACCAGTGAATGCATGCTCAGTACACTCAGAGCCACCGGGTGGGAGGAGCACAGAGCTGCACTGTGGCCCATGTTTGCTCAGCCTGTAAAGGAACAATGGCTAGATTGTTGTTGGCTGTGGTCACGGCCGTAGGGCCTGTTCTCTGTGTGGTCCAAGTCATTCATTGAACAGTTCCATCCTCTTGTATCCAGCCTAGCCCGAGGAAAGAAGTCTGGTTTCCAGCCCTACACAGGGCCAGAAAAGCGGTACTCTATCCACATTGATGTGGATCGGATGTTTGGAAACGAGAATTCATGTCCAGCACAGCGGGTCAGCCAGGTTCTGTCAGGGACTGGACCGAAGCCTGGGCTTAGGAGAGTGCGTGGTTTCTGTTCGGAGGTGTGGAGTTCTGCCTGTGTGTTCATGGGGTCCCCTGTGAAATAAAAGCCTGTTGTTTCACTTTTCTCTGGTGGTAACTAGAGTGAGCAACTTTGACCTTTCTGTTTTACAGAAAGCATTTTATTCAGACAGGACATTCTTACACGGGATTTTTTTAGTTTTTTTTTCACCTGCCTTAGATTTTTCATGGGTATTCCATCTTTTCATTGTGTCAGACTCTCTTTTTCTTGCTGAGAAACCATTTGGAAACTGTAAGATCACGTTTCTGGAAAGGCAGTTGGAATTTGTTGATACCTGACATGCAGACCATTCACATAGCTGACCGTGCTCCAACATGGGGCAGGACTGAACAGGTCCTCAAAAGCATGGAAGATCCAGTTCAAGGAAATTTACTTTTCACAAATGAGCATATTCAAGTGGTTATTTCCACAAAATTATTCTAAGAGTAAGTCGTCTTTCGTTGACCTT